ATGTTTCCCCCTTCTTTTTTTCTGTCTTTTGTCTTTCCCTCATCTAAATAAGCCTCCCATGGGTAAACATCATATTGTCTCCCTAGTGTAAGAACCTGAAAGAATAAATAAAATCTGGAAGGTGCAGCAGATAGAGTAAAATGGAAAGAAACTCGACCTAAGGTATAGTCTTTTTTTATGTACTTGGTGTAGGGTCTCACTACGCAGCTTGGATTCCCAGTGGTGGTCCTGTTTGCAGTCTCCCCAGCACCGGGATTACAGGAGTGCGCCGCCATGCCTGGACTTGGTCACCGGCTCAGTGCGCCCTGGGAGCAGGGCCGGCGCAGCATGCAGGACCGGAGATCAACCCTAGTCCCTGCGCTTGCCACAGCAGGCACTTAGTTCGCTGAGCTCTCTCGCTGGCCCTGACAACAGCACATAAGGAATAAACGCTTCTGTCCATGCTGAGGCTCCGCCTCAGGACCTCTGGTGGCCTAATTCTGAGGTGTTGTCATTAGTCCAGAATCAGACATCAGATTTGGCAGAAGTGGGCCGGTCCCAGGAAAGAGTGAAGCTGTGACTTGGCGGCAGGGGACCTGAGATAGACAGTGCTGGATCCGGTCCCTCATCAGTGGCCATTCCTAGAAGTAAGCCTGCATCCAAGTATTTAAGTCTCTGAAGGGATAGCTGAGCCTTGTCCCTTGAACTTTCATATCCTTTTTTAACTAGAAAATTGAGAGACAGCATTATGGTAGGGTGGCGCCTACATGGGGCTGCAGGCCAGACTGTCCTCTCTGGACTGTAGTGTGGCTCCCTGTTCAGGCTCTAGGTTTCTGAAACCCAGTGCCCAAGCAAGGTGGGTGCTATCTCTAGTGTCCTATGGGGGCACAGTCCAAATATTTTTGTTTGTTTGAAATGGGATTTTCCCACTCAAAGGCAAACAGGAACTGGGAGTCTGGCAGGAGAGGAATAGAAAACAAAGCATTTCTGGGGCCTGAGACCAGGCACCAATTCGTGTCTCCTGGCATTTGGCAGGGGCCTCTGGATGGCTCTGCCGCTGGGCTGCACGGGGGCCACAGCCTCCTTAGGAGGCCGGTTCTTGTCTCCTCTGATGCTTTCCTGATAGTCTCAGTGCAGGGACAGTGCAGTGTTGCCAAGGGGCTGACGAGGTCACACAAGGCCATGTGTGCAAAGCCTGTCTACAGTAGGCCACCAGCCTTTTCGTAGAGATGGTGTTGTTTCCAGCCGGGAAACCGGCTGGGGCAGTTCGCGCCAGGACTCCTGGCCCTGCTGAGTGGCACTCCACGCGTTTCACTGAACCTCCAGCAGAGCCCCTTGCTGGTAATTATGTCAGGGAGGCCTGCAGTCTCCCCCAGGTAGAATCCACTTTGACCTTCACCAGAACTTCAGAGCACCCCCAGTTTCAGTAGTAATCGCTTCCTGACAGTGTGGGGCCCTGGGACAATTAGGACCTTGCAGTTGAACATTTGAGCTGTAAACTGACATGTCCAAGCGGGAGTAACGAAGCTCTGACCAGGCCCCCGCGGACTCTGGCGAGGGCTGCAGACCAGTCCTCAGTTTATAAGGAGCTGGACTCGCTGAACCCACACAGCTAGGGTCTGGCTCCTCACAGGTCACGGCGGGGTCTCCAGACAGAGCCCTGCAGCTTGCCCAGTCCCTTCAGGCGCCTCAGAGCTGGAAGTGAGGGTTTCAGTTGGCCTTGCCCTGGATAGCAGAAAGGACACTCAGCCCCCAGGCACCAGGTATTAGTCACCTCAGCGGCTGGCACAGAGCAGCACCCAGGGGTGGCATGGACCAGGCACGTGCCCTGCACCAGGCTTTTCTGCATTTAGAATAGGAGCTCTTTGAGTGACTTGGCTGGGGTTGTCCCCTGGACAGCTGGAGGCATGGCTGAGGGCAGCAGCCCTACTTCCGCCTTTACCTTTGGCTCCTCGCCTTTTTTGCCTTCTTCCAGGTGCCAAGTGCGGAGCGTGGGAAAGGCTGCCTAGCAACTGGGCCACGGGGGTCTGACAACTCTCCTGAAGTTCATGACCTGCACTGAGAGTCCTGAAATGCTGTCCCATCTGTGCCTGTCCCTCTGTGGGAGAGGGACGTAGGTTTGCACACTCACGTGAAGCTTCTTCTGGCGGGCTCTGGAGGAGCTGGCGCTGCTCTGCCCCGGGTAACCTCCTTCACCTTGTCACACTTCACAGGTTTCCTAATGCGTCTTCCATCCCCTGGTCAGGGCAGTCACTTTAGACCCAGGCTCTGCCTGCCTGCAGCACTGAGCCCCAGCTGGGTGCCATTTGGGGGACCAGCTGGGGTGGTTCCCAGCCTTCTCTGTGGCAGGGCCCGGCTGCACAGCTCCTGGCCTCTTCCAGGACTGTTTGCATCTGAGGTGGAGCCAGGAGCCAGGATGAAGCAGACATCTCACCGCAAAGAGCCAAAAGCAAGGGACAAAGTTTGGAGCCCACCCAAACCTCTCAGGAGTTTTGGACAGTTGGCCTAACAGTGCACTGTTGGCTGTCTGACACTCAGAAGCACCTGGGGCTCAGAGAGACCCTGCGACTCCAGTGATCTGTCTCAGGCAGGAGGAGCCATGACTCGGAAGAGCAGGAAGGCCCACTCTGGGCAGGAGGCTCCACTTAACACTGCCTTAAGAGCTCAGGGAGGGGCTGCAGCAATCCTGGTCCCTGGAGCTGGCTGGCTGCCCCTGGAGTTTCAGATTCACTGGGAGAGGGCGGCACTGGCCTACTGGCCTGAGGACACCAAGAAGGAAGGTGGAGAGGCCAATGTGGACAGACTCAAAGCTACCTGAGAGACGGACGGGTGGGAGAGGGATGTAGGTCTAGAGAACACGCTGATCATCGAGGACATTAATCTGCCCGGCAGCCTCCATGGGGACTGCACCTGCTGGGCCTCTGCAGGGCATGGCTTTTGATAAAGAGCTAGAAAAGCCTGGACATAAGGGGCTTCAGACACTTGCTGTATGGTTTGCAGAAAAGATAACTGAAGAACAGTGTTATAGTTTAGGCTGTTAGGAGGTGGGTGTGCTGATGCATGCCTGTAGTCCCAGCACTTGGGAGGCTGAGGCAGGAGGACTGCTTTGAGTTCAAGGCCAGCCTGGGCCACATAACGACATCTTGCCTCAAAAAGGACAAAAACAAAACAAACAAACAAACAAAAAACAAAACCAGTGTAGGCTGCTATGTTCTCCCTTTCTCCCCACCCCGGCTATTCTGGGGCCAGTGTGTGTTGTGATGGGAAATGGGCTGCCTGTTCTCCGACTGTCAATGTCGAGCTGTCTGCAGTTACTAAGGACACAACCTGCTGGTGAGGCCGGGGCGGGGGGATGGGCAGGGTCTTCCTTATGGCACTTCATGAGGTCTATGGAGAGGAGAGAAGACCATGTCTGGGGTCCTCCTGAAGGTGTCCCTTGTGCAGGACAGGGACCTGCTGGGCTCCGGGGCATCCCCTGAGAGGCTTGAGCTTTCCTCCAGCATTGCTGGCCAAGCAGGTGGCGCCCGAGCCTTTTATTTCTTAGGTCTCTGTACCCTGTGTCCCACTGTGAGCCCTCACAGGCCACGGAGGAGGTCTCCAGGGCGGCCTCTAACCTGCTGAGAAAAAGCACTCTTCTCTTCCCTTTTATCCCAACAGCAAAGGACTTTGGCAAGGTTTTTAAAGTGCAGTAGAGACAGCAATTTATTCCTGCATTTCAAAAAGAGCCTTGGAACACCCTAAGTCAAAGGTTGGTACTGTTTGGTGCCTGTTCACTGAGAACCTCTACACCTTCCCTTCTGGGGAGCAGTCCCTTTGCATGCCACCCCCGACCCACACTGTCTGCTCCCTTCGTTCTACTCAGGCCCTCAGCCATCTTTGTCCCTAAGTTATCTAAATTTTTTTTCTTTTAAATTCTCATTTTACTTATTTATTTATTTGGTTCAGGGTCTCACTATGAAGCACAGACTCACAGTGATCCTCCTGTCTCAGCCTCCCCAGCGCTGGGATTACAGGTTTGCGCCATCAAGCCTGGTTTCAGTGGCTGGGTTCGGGGTTGGCATGGCATGTGCTACTGGGGACTGAACTCTGGGCCTTGTGCTTACCGTGCAGGCGCGTAGACAGCAGAGCTATCGCCCCAACCCAGTTACCTAGAAGGGAGATTTGCCCAGATTTCAAACGGAAGAGAAAAGGGGGCTTCTATGTTCCCCCAAAGCAGAGAACACACCTCTCATCTATGAGTCAAGTTTCCCACCACCCAGGAGGACGACATTTGAGAACCTGGCCGAAAGGCAGCTTGAGATCTCTACCTGCAGTTTGTGGTTTTGGGGACAGGGACTGAAGCAGCCTCCCTTGGATACCAGAGACCAGGCCACCTAGGGGCGGGTGGCTGCTGCTCCCCAGAGGGAGAAAGCTGAGCAAAGCAAGGAGAAGAACAAAGGCGGAAGCGACAGATTAAACTTTAGGTCGTGTTAAGGCACAGCTGGGCCGGGAGCCTGGATGTTGTCCCAGGCCAGCACCCGCCACCGGGTCACAGCTCGCGAGTCCTCAAGCAGCTTTATCTGCCCCACTGTTCACTGTCCCACCCGGGCCCACGAAGAGCAGCCAAAGGACAAACAAATGGGTAACAAAAGAGGAAAAGTACTGCCTGGCCAGCTTGCCAAGAGTTGTTATGAGGGTGGGGGCGCTCTTCCACGGAGCCAGGGGACAGACCCTTCCTCCGCGACCCCCCTCGGAGCGAGGTCGTTCTATCCGAGACCCTGCGAGGTGTCCGGAGGTGCACGCGCCTGCCTCTCGGTCCTGTTCTCCGCCAGCGCAGAGACGGCTGCAGCCAGCTGTGCCCGACTCTGTCCCGTCTTGCGCTCCTCCCCCTTCCCAGCGGCGGCGGTCGAGAGCTGGGCCGGCTCTGCGCACGTGACCGCGCGGCAGCGGAGGAGGAGGAGGGGGAAGCTCCGGACCGCCGGGGGAGGGGGGCGTCGGTCCGGGGGCCGGGCTCCTCTCTGAGCGTCCGGCTAGGACCCTACCCCGCGGCCCCCACGCGGCTCCGCCCCTCCGCGCGGCGCTTTAAGCCCCACCCCGACCCTGAGCACCGCCTTCCGCCCGCGCCGTTGCTTCTCCGCCATGGGTGCCGCTGGTTCTCGCGCGCTCTCCAGCCTCGGCCTCCCCGCGCCCGCTCGGCCTGCGTGGCTCGGCGTCGCCGCGCTGGGGCTGGCGGCCGTGGCCCTGGGGGCGGTGGCCTGGCGCGTGCGTCCCCGGCGACGCCGGCGGCGGCAGCAGGTGGGCACGGTGGCGCAGCTCTGGGTCTACCCAATCAAGTCCTGCAAGGGAGTACCGGTGCCCGAGGCCGAGGTCACAGCGCTGGGGCTGCGCGTGGGACACATGCGCGACAGGTAGGCAGGAGTGGTGGTGAAGGCCTCCGGGGAAACCGAAGTGTGCTTCCTGAGTAGGAGCGTGGAGAGCGCTGAGATCCTTGTGGGGTTGCACGCTCTGGGACCAGGAGAGCAGGGACCTGCCTGGGTAGCGCACCTGCAGCCAGGACTCTGATTTGGCCAGAGCCGGCGCATGCCTGGGTAGGCCCGAGCATGCAAAGTGCTAGTGGCTGTAGTTACTCCACGGGAGCAGAGGGCGGCCTGCGAGCTCGGAGTTCAGAGCCAGGTTTACTCTGGGTCACGTGGAGGAGCCCAGAAATTTGCCCTAGAACTCCTATCAGCTCCCCCTTGACTGGAACAATAACTGCTTGCGATGGGGTGGTGGGAGGTGGAGTCCGGGTCGGGTCGGAGAAGGCAAGGAAATCACCCTTGGATCAGGCTTGAAATGCCAGCGGCCCTGAAAAGTCCTGTACGGTGGCCTAGTGGCGGACCCCACCTCCGTCCTGAAGATAGGGGTTTGAACTCAGGTGAGTGTGAGAGCAGCCCCAGGGGCTTTCTGTGAGCCTCGTGCAGGATATAGAAGGGGTAGGCGCACCAGGATCAGGAGACAGAGTCCTTTCAGCCGAGGTTTTGCAAAAAAAAAAATTGCACTGGGTCTTATTTCATGATTGAAAGCAAGCTTGCCAGAGAACACCGTTTGAATGCTTCTCCCTGTCAGCTTGAGAAAAGGACAAGTATTTCTAGAATGTGGAAAAGACGCTATTACTTCATTCCTTCATTCCACTCTGAGCCTGTGTGACAGAATTGCAGAAAAGCTGGATTTTCTTCCACGAGTGCCCGAATTGCCCAGCCTTTTGTTCAGTGCCTTGAGAGTGTTTGTGCTTGTGCTTGGCTCTGTACCCGGCCCCCTGGGGTCTTTCAAGGGCACCTGGCTTAATGCCCCCTGGGCACAGAGGCCGTGGATGCACGGTGCGGACCTGTGCCTTCCAGGCCTGAGTCCACGCTCCCTCACTGCTGCCTCTGCCCCTCACTGCTGTCTGCATCCCATTTTCCTACTGGGCTTGGCCCTTCTGCCCCAGGCCAGTCCCTAACTGGACAAGGAGACTTTTCCAAGGCGGTGGGCTCTGCCTGCCCCGCTGGCTGCAGTCCCTTGGGGCACTGCTGCTCTTCCAGGGGATCCCAGCCCTGCATCCCTCCCCTGACCCTCTGCCAGCTTGTGTGATTGTGACAAATCCATCCATCCAGGTTCCTGTGTCTCATTTGCAGTCTCTGTTGAGAGAACTGGGTTGCAAAAACCACACACCCTGCGACTTAACCTTCCTGCCAGGTGTGCACACCAGAGCAGACTTTTCATTTACAGGGACTCAGGGTGCTCAGAGATAAAATACCTCATTCCCCAGCGACAGCTGATGAGTCATTTGGGGTGCATTAGGGTCGCAGCCACTTACCTGGCACCTCTGTCCTTGTCCTGTTCCAAGGTTAAGCTCCCTGTGTGTGGCCACGCCCCCTTCTCACTGTTACCCTGGCTGGCTGTGTTACCACACCTTTCTGCAGAGAGCAGAGGGGACCAGGCTATGAGCTGAGGGAAAGGCCAGCATCCTGAGGATGGGGGACATTGAAAGCCTCACCCCCTGGCAGGACCTGTCGGCAATGACGCCAAAGTGGGTGCCACTCAGGTTTGGCTTCCGCCTGGTGCGTGCAAGGCTCAGGGAGTCCTCTCACTGGACAAAGCGTGAAGGAGGTTAACCAAAGCAGAGTGTCTTGGTCAGACTTTTTGTTGCCATGGCAACATACTGAAGATCAGGTGACTTACAAATAATAGAGGTACATCGAGCCCAAGGTAGAGAGCAGGAAGCCCAAGAGCTGTTCCCTTTGAGCCAGTAATCCTTAATCCATGGGATTAATCCATTTATGGGAATTTAAGGTGGATCGCTCCTCAAAGGTCTTGTCACCCGCTGCCATTAGCGTATGAATGGAGGACTGTGTGCTGGCAGGTGCAGTCTCAGGGAGACAGTGGTGCTGTGTTCAGCACAGGTCACCAGATCTCTGCAGTGAACGGGAGCCTGGAAATGGGGGCGTCCCTGAATAGGCAGGAATTCCTGAGTTACAGAACCCCGAAGCCTGAGCGCATCAGAGGATTGGGGGCCAGGACATCTAGAAAGGAGCAGGTGGCCTCTGAGAATGGTGGGCCGCCGCTGGCCAGCACGTCCCCTTGGGGAAGAGTCACTGGCCACCCCTGTGTGTGGACTTACCCGCTATGGATGCAGGCTGCCGCCTGGGCTGGCATGGTCACAGAGAAGGGACTACGTGGCAGCACCTGGAGCAACAGGGCCAGGAGTGGACAGTGAGCCCTGGGCTCGCAGGATACCCACAGTCCCAGAGCTGCCCCTCCAGAAGGGCTGCCATTCATCCTTGTGCTACACCGAGGATGTCCTCGATTTCCAGGGGCTTCTACTGTCCACGCTGGCAGAGGTCCTTACCTGTCCCTCATCCAGAGTCAGCGGGCAGCCTCAGATGGTGACCCTGGAACTTTCTTTCTTGGGGCCCAGCCATGGGGTGGAGCAGCCCAGACCTTCCCGAGGCTGTAGATAAAGCCAGCCCGCCCGTCCTGGCTGCCAGCTCAGGGGAGCATCTGGTGGGAACCGGAGCAGGCTCTGTGGGCTCTGGGTAGAGCAGAGCTCGAATGCAGCCTGTGACCTCTGTGACTCCAAGCTCAATGCCAACTCATACCTCAGTGTGTGCACGGAAAGGCAGGACTGGGTGGCACTGACCCAGGTGGGGCCACAGGCCAGGGAGAGCCGACAGAGGAGGCCAGCATGGACTCTCCAGAATGGACAGCGGTAGGGGCCTTTGTCTCAGGCTCTGGCCCCCCTTGGGCATGGCTTCGGTCCTGCAGTCTGCCGTGCCCTGCAGACCTCCATGAAAGGATCTGGAGCCCTTTCCTATTCCTCAGCTGCGGGGAGGAGGGTGGCAATAGACCTGGTGGCTTCTGAGCAAAAGGGAGCTCCTGGAGGGGCACCTGACAGGGAGCAGTGGCCCCGCAGCCTCCTCGTTGGCTGTTTCAACCTGCACCTGTTGGCGCATCGGGCTGCCCCTGTCTCCCAGGGCCCTGCCAATAAACAAGGGCTTTCTCATGCTTGCCAAGCAAGCACTTATTCTACTGAGCCATCTCTTTGGCCCCCAAAACGAGGGCTTTCTGCGGGGAGCATTTCAAACCGGAAGCATTGGTCAGACAAGGGTGTCCTGGGAGCAGTTGCTGGGGGCCGTGTTGGGCTGGGAGAGAGTTTGGAGGAAACAGGAAGGAGGGGAAACCCTCACCGTGCCCCCATCTGTGCCCTGCAGGTTTTGGATGGTTGTCAAGGAGGATGGACACATGGTCACTGCCCGGCAGGAGCCGCGCCTCGTGCTGGTCTCCATCACCCCTGAGGACGGGTCCCTGGTCCTGCAGGCACCTGACATGGAGCAGCTGGCAGTGCCCTACAAGCTGCCTTCTTCAAACGCACTCCGCGACTGTAGGTGCGCAGGCCCTGCAGAGGAGGGCGGGCACGGGGTGTGTGGGACAGGCTGCGCTGGGGCTCAGTGTGCGTGGGGTGGCCAGGCCAGACCTGGTCGGCACACATGGCCGTGGCTGTCAGGTGAGAAGACCTCGGCTATGCTGACAGGCTCCCGAAACAGGAGGCGCAGCCACTCTGGCGCAGTGGGGTGGTCAGGCAGCGGAGGAACAAGGGGGCAGGAAAGGGCAGCAGCTGCAGGCAGGCTTGGGAGGCCTGGTGTGAGCAACGGGGGTGGGATGCAGAGGGTCCCTGGAGTCTGGTGCAGTGGCCTCCCCGGGCCATCAGGCATTGTGTGGCCATCCAACCAGCAGAAGTCAGTGGGGGAGGTGGTGGGCGGGTGAGTGGTCCTGACCTGAGCATGGAGCAGCAGTGGTTACTGTGTCCTGGGAGGCAGGGCCTGCTTCATCAGCTCCACTCTGGGCGCCAAAATTGGAAGCATAGTTAGTCCTGTTATGGGGCTCTGCATACCCTCAGGGGCCTTTCTCAGGTTTTAGCCTGCAGTCGTGCACAGGGAGATGATAGGGCTGACCGGTGGGGCTGACTGCAGCAGTTGGCAGGACAGAGTGTGTGGTCTCAGCTCCTGGCTGCAGCCCCAACCCTGAAAGCAGTGTCTGCCTAGGAGTGAGACCCCGGCGCTCTGGCTGCCCTGGGATCGAGTGCTGAGCTGCCCTCCCCGGGGCTGTGCCTACCTTCCCCTGTGCCACTCCTGAGCCAGGGCACAGCACTCTGCTCCATCTCTGAGGCCTATGACCTGGGGTCCTCTTCTGGCCCTCGCAGGCTGTTTGGCCTTGACATCAAAGGCAGGGACTGCGGTGACGAGGTGGCACAGTGGTTCACCAGGTTCCTGAAGTCGGAAGCCTATAGGCTGGTGCAGTACGAGACCAGTATGAAGGGGCGGACGTCCAAGGAGCTCCTCCCCAATGTGAAGGATTTCGGGTACCAGGTGAGTCCTGGTCTCCTCTCCCTCTTGTCTGCAGGCCCTCTCCTGGAATGTGGGCTAGGGGCATTTCCTGTGGGGCAGACTGGGCAGGGATGACTGGGTGGGGGCCCAGGATGGGGAGGAGGGGTGCGGTGCGTTCTGCAGCACAGGCGGAGGACCCAGGAGCTTCTGCAGAGGAGCTGGTGGCATCCCGGGCATGGGCTCCGGAGGAATCTGTGAGCAGTGAGAGTGGGAGTTTGGGTGGAAGTGGTTCCTAGGGAAGCAGAAACAGCAGCAGGCAGCTCCCTCAGGGGCTGCAGGCCAGGCAGGCCTCCTTCTGCTTGGAAGAGCAGTCCTCTGCCAGCCCAGTGGAGCCCCAGACCCTGAGCCAGGGCTTAAGTGCGGGTGCCAGGGGCCTGCTCCCCATGCCATATCCTGGACCACAGCCCCAGGAGGGCAGGATGAGTCTCAGGCTGCCTGCTCTGTTTGTGCTGTTTCCCAGGAACAGGACCTGATATCTGAAGGTGCCCAGTAAGTGCTTTTTCATTGAATGGTAGTGTTGCAGAAATTCTAACTAGAGTGTAATGGGTTAGCAGTAGCCCTTTTGCTATGAGGAGGAGGAGGAAAGAAAGGGTTGAGTCCCTGCTGCTGGACTGTGAGAAGCCCGACAGAGGAGGGTGGGTGAGTGATGTCGGCTGGAACTGTGGACGGTAGGAGTTCTGTTAGGAACCCATCACCACCAGAGGACAGACAGGTGGCCTGAGCCATCTCAGCAGGGTGTGACCCAGCCACGCGGTCCTGCGCAGGTGCCCTACCCCGACTGCAGCCCGGTCCTGCTGCACACCGAGGCCTCCCTGACTGACCTGAACACCAGGTTGCAGAAGAAGGTGAAGATGGAGAACTTCCGGCCCAACATCGTGGTGGCCGGTTCCAGCGCCTATGAGGAGGTGCGTGGCTGGTCAGGGCGTCTGGGATGGGTGCTAGGGTCCCCATCCCGGGAGCCTGGAGGGATTCAGACCTGGGGATGCAGGGGTGGAGAGAGAGGTGGGGAGTGGGGGTCCTGGGAAGGGGGAACCTTGTGCATGCAGGGGGTCCACTGCCTCACCCAGGGTGAGCCTGGGTTAGACTAGAGAATCTGCAGTCTGGGGGCTGCTTTAAGAAAAAGGAAGTAACAGAAATGAAATTATATGCAGGCCCTTGGGGAGGCCCCAAGCAAATGCAGGGCCCTAAGCTCTTACAAACCTTCTTGATTCTTGGGTTCTGACCCCCTTGAGGTCCAGAGCAGTGCAAGGAGAAAGCAGTTGCTGCACACAGCTCCGGTAAAAGTGCACCTCCTGGGGCTTAGACATTAACACAGGAAGTGGACATTCCTCCACACGGTCCGGGTCACTGTCATTGCTTTCTCAGAAGCTGTATTGTAGGGAATGACGTTTTCCTTGATTTGTCTCTGTGGAAGGTTAAATTGCAGGTCACTAATTTGTGGGTAAGATCTTGAGGCAAGGAGACAGCCAAGGTGTTGCCGGGCTGGAGAATTTCTGATCTCTTGTGCCTAGGGTCACAAAGCTGACCTGTTCTCAGGCTGTGGGGGTGGGTAGAATCTTTAGCAGGACACCAGAAGATGTGCTTTAAAGCCCATTTCTTTCTGCATTGAGATGGGCTTCCGGAAACAGTAAATAAATGTAGCATGCTCAGGTTTTTTGGAAAGTCCTCTGGGACTGCACATTAAAAATAAAGAACCCTACTGTGCAGTGATGTTGATGGTGCTGATTTCTTCTGTCTTCAATAAGGAGGCCCAGGAGTTCAGGACGCGGTGCAGTAACCTATCTGGTGCTGCCCTGAAACAGGAGCCCTTCTGATTAGTGGGGGCTCTGTCAAATATTAAAGGCAAATGATGATGCACATAAATAACAAACCCACTCAGGATAAAAAGCAGCAAAGGTAGTACGGTGTGTGGCCCATGCCATTATTGGTTGCAAAATGTGGGGCCACAGTGAGCTGTTGCGCAAGGTCTGCCTGGTGGCCCTGCAGACTTCGAACTTGAGTGCAAAGCTTAGAGTATACAGAGATTTTAGGAGGCAGGGGTGGGGCTCTGCGTTCGAGTTCTCGGAATACAGACCTTTCACCCAGGCTTCTCAGGGGAGCAGCTAGCTGACCGGCCAGGTTGGTTTTCCTGACCACCACTGGTTTTCTGAGCTGTCTTCTTCCTTTGTCCTCACTCAACACTATCAGCGTATGGCCACTTGGCAGAAACTGGGCCACCTGCCCCTCAGTGAGTGTTTCTTCAGCAGCTTCTGTAGCTTCTGAGTCCCAGCACCCATGGGACCTTCCTGTCCCGCTCTTTCTCAATGCTGGGATGGGAAATCCTCATGACTGGACCCTTCCGGTCCACGATGCCCATGTTGAGAGGGTCAAGGTATCTTCTGGACTGTGAATGCTGCCTCCTTTGCCTGTGACCGAGGACAGTGGTGCCACCTGCCTGCGGCGGCGACCCTGGGGGGAGCAGTGCAGGTCAGACACCGGCAGTGTGCTGTTCCTGGTGCTCCACACTGGCCCATACCGCCTCATCAGCCCTCCACGTCCCTTCCAGGCTCGAACCAGGTTGTGTCTCCCTGTAGCGGGTCAGACACAGCTTGTATTTGAACGCTCAGCAGAGAGTAGAGGACACCAGAGCACTGTACACCGAAGGTTGTTCTGTTGAACGCTTGCTTCCCATGGTGTGTGAGAGAGACGGGAGGGACTGTCCAGTGTGGTCCTCGTGGGGGTCATGGAGTTAGAGGGCTTATTCCTGTTTTGGATGGAGACATGGAATCAGAGAGCTTGAGTCACCTTCCCGGTCACACACCTAGTGTGGCTCTGTGTGGCCACTGACTGGCTCCTCCCAGCAACCTGTGGGTACTCTATGCTGTCCCTGGAGGGAGGAAAGAGGCCACCAAGAAGGAAAAGGCCTGAACCGTGTTTATTTGAGTCTGGTCAAGCAAATGGGAAGGACCTGAAAGCCATTTTTCTTTCTGAATTAATGAAGGAACCAAGAAGGGGGCTGGGGCACCCTGTGTTCGAGCTCGGGGACATCCATTCGCTGCCTCTTACCTTGTCTGAGCCCCTTCTGTCCTGGGTGGGTCCTTAGTGGTCAGTGTCTTCATCGGCTGTGCCAGAGAGATGGAACCACCATGAAAGGCCCCCAGGTGGGGGTCCCAGAGGTCTGAGCCACTGGAGGACAGGGTACCCCGACAGGGCAGGGCTCCATGCAGCCCCAGGCCTCGTCCTTTGCATCCTGAGCTGTGGTCTTTATAATCCGGTTCTGGCAGTGCACTCTCCTGAGTCGCAGGCACCTTCCGTGTGAGTTGCCCTGTCGCAGAGCAGGGTAAGGGAGGCCCTGATGTGGGGTGATTGGTGAGGACCCTCGACATTGGCCTCGGGGCGTCTTGCAGCCGGACCACCTGCCTGGGGTCTGCACTCGCCCCTGGTCCTGACTCCGCGCAGGTATCGGAGAACTGAAGGGTGGTGCTGAAGAAGACACCACAGCGTGGGTGTCAGAAAGACACAAACTCTACTAAAATGATTTTCAGATTGCGTTATTGGGATTACTGTGCTTCTTAAAAAAAGAAGAAAATTAAGATTTATTTTAAAAAGCTGAGTAATGTTGAAATCCTGGTGAGGAGGCTCTGGGAGTCTTTCTGTGGATGATACCTATAGCTGTGGCACAGTGATGCTGGTCAACAATCACGTGTGTGGACGTGACGGTCGCCCCGCATGGTGACAGTGGCGCTGGCTGCTCCTAGTGGTGTGGGAGCTGTTGTGTCCAGGGCAGGGCTCTGCTCACGTGTGCTCAGCGGCCCTGATGCCAACAGAAATTGTGGTGTGTGTAGTTAGGCACCACGCGTGATGCAGAGGGCACTTTTCTGTGTCTGTGGCGGTGTAATTTAAGGTGATTATGGAGTGTGTTCCTTCCGCCTGTTGAAGACCAGGTTTGCGGCGACACAGGATGTCACGTGACGCTGCTAGCAGCCCCGGGCATCTCACCGTCTGTTGTGTGTTTTCTTTGTGTTTGGCTCGCTGTGGCCTGGAAGCGCAGGAGGGCCAGCTCAGGTTGCCAGCGGGCCGTGCAGCCCCGTGACCGCAGGCAGCCCTACCTGGCGTCCGTGGGAGCCGGTGTGTGCGCGGCTCCTGTGACTTCCCTTGTTGGTTCTCACACAGCAGCACCTTGACCGTTTCTCGGGGTGGACGGGATACAGGTCCACGCCCTCCTTCCTAAAGCCTGAAGGGCACACACCCCTGTGTCCTCAGCCGCTCCAGTTGGTGGCCTTCCAGGCTCTTGGGCATCATCAGGGACCAGAGTGAGAAACCAGAAATACTACTGGGGGCCCCAAAACAGGGAAGAGCTGTTTGTACATCACTGATTCGTTCCTTCAGTTTTTGCCTACTTTTATTTTTATTTTTATTTTTTTTTACATTTCACCTTTTATTAAACAAACCAAATCCAAACAGTTTACAACCCTTTGTGTGGGCTGTCTCAGGCGAGCGCTGGTTTCTGCGGTGCCAGAGACCATGGCTTCAGGTCCATGGCTGAAGTTGGGCCATGTCCCGTCACAGACGCCCCGACAGCACCAGAACAGAAACGCTCAGCTGGGCTTTCCGCCCGAACTCCTATGCAAGATGCCTTTTCAGCTCCTCCACCACGGCCTGCGGCTCCGGGAACTTGAGTTTGCGTGGTGGTCCCTTCTTAATTCCAGTCCAGAGCTGAGCATCGCTGCCGTCCGCGCGCCGCAGCGTCACCTCAAAGCTTCCCCTCCGCCGCCGCACCGGGTTGAGTGCCACCGCCAGCTGCGGGGCCGCCACGCGTAGCGCCTGGCTCAGCGCCGCGGCCTGGCGCGCGTACACGCGTCAGCTGGTGCAGTGCTCGATGACCACCTGGGCCTCCGTCCCGCCGTCCGCCGGCTCCCCCCGCTTCCCTGCAGGGCAGACCTCCTGGCCTCGGCCTTGCGCTTCCTCCCGCGAGGCGCCATGGCAGACACCGCGCGGCTCGAGCGACCGCGCCGAGCGCCTACTTTTATTTTTAAAAAATTATCATTTAAAAATTAAATTGGGGCCAGGGAGAGCTCAGCAGCACAGCACCTGCCTGGCAAGAGAAAGGTTGTGAATTTGATTCCTGGTACCAAGAAAATAAAAATGAAACATAAAAATCAGTTTGATGGCCATTCTGGAATATGAGCTCCTTAAAGGTGGGCACTGCTCAGTACAAATACTTTTGGAATAAATCAATTATCTTGTCATTAATTTATTTACATAAGGATTTGGAGCAATTTAGCATTAAAAATTATACCTAGTTTTTTTTTTTTTTTTGGACATCAACTGCAGAAGAAATCAGTATTTAGAATTTATAAAGTCTCTATGAATATATTTTCAAAGTTTTCAGTTGTGTTTGTTTGCTTGTTTTGATAGTAGTGTTTTTTGTTTCTTTGTTTTATTTTAATAGAATTTCACCATGTAGCCTAGGCTGGCTTTGAGCTTGTGATCCTCCTGCCGTAGCCTCCCCAGTCCTGTGAATACACTGCCTAGTTTTTACTTACCATATTTCTGTTTTTAAAAATTAAATCCAAATTTTATTTAATAATTTCAAATTACACATTTCAAATTTCTAAAATGGAATAGAAGTATCTCGGAATGAAGAAACGGCATAGAGGAGCACTGACAGCCCTTGGAACTCAGATTTCATCAAGGAAACTATTGATCTGCAAATCACAGCCCATTACATAACAAGGTGAAATATCCACCTCTTCACTTTGGCAATAGCTATTTTCTAAAGGAATGGAAAAAAAAGATTTTTTTTTTTTTGGTGGAACTGGGGATTGAACTCAGGCCCTTGCACTTGCCAAGTGAGCGCTTATTCTACTGAGCTAGCTCCCGAGCCGCTGTTATTCTTTAATTAAAATGGGATTCTATCTTTAGATTAAAAATTTAAAGATGAGAAAAAGCTGTACTTAGAAAATTACCATGTTTCTGACAGTTGTGTATGTCGTGCAGGATCATCACTTCCAAGTCACGTGACAGGTCCAGCAGCTTGGAAAGGGTCAGAGTGGGGCAGGGCTGGGGCCCAGGGCGGGAAGGCGGGGCCGTGTCACCTTGGGGCCCCGGAGGGCTGGACCCCAGCCTTCGCAATTGGGCCAGTGACACACTCTGCCTGTCAGGATAACTCCTTTCACAGCCCACTGACCCAAGCGGCCACTTGGGTTGTGCAACTGTTGTCCCTCCTCTTAGGCGTCTTTGTGTCTTTCTGTGGCTGGTAGGGGTTTAAGACTCACGTTGGCCTCCATTTCTACTGATGAGCCATCTTAGTGCCCGTGTACGAAGAGAAGGGCTTTGTGTGTGTGTGTGTGTGTGTGTGTGTGCAACAGACGTTTCTGATGGGGTGGGTGTGTAGATGAAGGTGTTCTCTGTATGGCTGCTTTTTCCCTATGGATGTAGCCATGTGCACATACACAGCCATGTGTGTTTATGAGTGTGCATGCACGTGTGTGTGTGTGTGTGTGTGTGTGTATAGGTGTGTGCATGGTCGGACTTTCCGGGACTCAACACGGACTGAAAGTGTCCAGAAAAACTCCACCCGCGGCGCAGTGTTCTGCTGCCGGGCCTGTGCTTCCTCAGCAGTGCTTAGCAGTCACGTGGCAGGAATCCTCGTCTAGAGATGGATTAGAGCGTGACTGTCCATCCTTTCAGCTTTCTGGGCTGTACTGGATGAAAAGCAATTGTCTTGGGCTGCATACAAAAGCTAAAATGTGGTTACTGTATATCAGTAACAGAGCTTCATATTTTACATTTTGGCTTATTTGACATAAGCCCAAGTTTTCACGTGTGCTGCAGGTGTGCGTGTGTAGGTAGAGATGCTGTTGTCTGTAATCCCATGTTTTACTCTGCATGCCGCGCGCCCATTATGCACCAATGACTTGCACTTGGAGGAGACTGGCGGATGCGGGGTGTGGCTGGTGTGGCACTGAGGTCCCCAGTGCCCTGCCACGGCCCCCTGCGCAGCCTGTGCTCTGGCACCACACAACCCAGTGTGAGAAACGCCACCCAGCCTGCACAGTGAGGGTAAACATTCTCACCTGTGGGCTGCACCGCGAGCTGCCCTCATGCTCCGTGGGACGTGCCGCCCTCAGCAGTGTGGGGAGATGAGGGTGGAGTGCGAGAAGCGCCAGGAGGGGCTGGGGCGTCTCCGGGTCTGGGTGTCAGGCGCGGTTTTGGAACCCTCCACATCGTGGAGTGTACGTAACACGGAGCTCTTCCGTGGCCTGTGTGTGCGAGCGCATCTGTGCATGCATGTTTGTATGTATGTACGTATATGCCCAGGTGTGTTTTCTATGTGTGTGTATGAATGTGTGTGTTTGGTCTCCATCACACGGAGCTGAAGGCCGCTGCGTGGCTGAAAGGCCTTCTCATCAGGAAGGTCTTCAGCCTCAGCTGCCCTGTGTCTTCCTCGCGTGACCCCACGAAAGCGTGGCAGTCCCTCAGGGCTGCCGTGTGGGCTGGAATGCCCGGATCGCACTTCTGTCCCCCTCTAGGTGGAAGGGTATGCTGCAGCCCTGAGATAAACTAGGGGTGCCCGTCAGGGCCCAGCGCTCCTCCTCAGTGTGTGTGGGGTGCACTTGGTGCTGGGGCCGGAGCTCAGGGCTGGAGCACTGGCCTATAGGCCCACGTTCTGGGTGCCCCAGGAAAGAGAGCTGCTCTGGAGCCTGCGGCCGCCGCCTCTGGTCTCCCAGACGTGTGCCTGTGTCGCAGTGCTCCCCTGCTGCTTGCGCGGTTAGAGCCAGCACCTGCTGTGCTGACTCGGGCCAGGAAACCTGACCCTGAGAGCCTGCCCTTCCTCCTAGGACTCCTGGGACGACCTCGTTATTGGGGACGTGGAGATCAAGAAAGTAATGTCTTGCCCCAGGTAAGCTTGTGGCCTGCCTGGCTGGCGCGGTGCAGCTCCGCTCGCCCCGGGGCCTGACCCTGTGCTCGTATGGCAGGTGCATCCTGACCACCGTGGACCCCGACATGGGCGTCATCGACCGGAAGGAGCCGCTGCAGACCCTGAAGAGGTTGGACATGCGGGTGCCCTGTGACCTCAGTGTCACCTCTGGGTTAGGGGCTGCAGGTGCCTGGGACCAGCTCTCCAGGGCAGGGCACCCTGAATTGCTTGGGGTCAGCATGCCGCGGGTCAAGTAACTGGGTGCTTGTCAGGTCAGGCTCCCCGCCTTGTTTTTCTATACTGGATGAATCTTGTACTTTTAGTATCTTCTCTTTTCCTCCATCCCTCCCTCCCTTCCTCTCTCCCTCTCTCCCTCACTCCCTTTCTTCCTTCCATTCTGTAATGGGGGTGGAAGCTGAGACCTTCATAGTGAGCTACAATTTCTTATTTATTTATTTATTTATTTATTTATTTTTTGGTGGAACCAGGGATTGAACTCAGGCCCTTGCGCTTGCCAGGGAAGCACTCATTCTATTGAACCATTTCCCCAACCCCTGAGCTACAATTTCTACTTTTTTTTTAACTTTCTTTTTTTTTTTTTTTAAGGCTTTCCTTTTTTTTTTTTTTTTTTTTTTTAGGTCTTACCATCTATATTTATTTATTTATTTATTTTGGTGGAACCAGGGATTGAACTCAGGCCCTTGCGCTCGCCAGGGAAGCACTTATTCTACTGAGCCGTCTCCCCAACCCCTGAGCTACAATTTTTACTTTTTTTTTTTTACTTTTGAGACAGAGTCTTGCTAAGTTGTTAAGTAGTCCAGGCTGAGTTTAAACTTGTGATCCTCCTGCCTCAGCCTCCCAGAGTGCTGGGATTACAGGTGTATGGACGGCACTGGGCCAGTCTGATACATTTTAAACTAAATTCCTTTTCAGAATTTTACTACCTCTCTTATTAATTCTTAATAACATTAATGTGCGCTTTTCCAAATGATGGTCCCGAGTTCTTACTTAATTATGCTTATTAGAACTCAAATGCTTTTATTAGAAGCAGCATCAAAGGAGATGAAAATCACTGTGATTGCATACAATACACATACAATTTCCTCTTGTGAAATACAAGAGGAGGTGGAACGGAACAGGCTGTCAGAGTCTGGGCACCCAGGAGCCTCTTTATACCGGGATTCTTCCCTGTCTCATCTTAACGAGAATAGAAAAATACTAGAGCAGACATTAGAGATGGCACAGTTTCAGAGAAACCCAGGATGACAGGCATTCAGTGGTGCTTGTTGCTTTGCATGTTGGTGTCTTCATTGTAGTTGCTCAGATTACCACATAAAAGCCTATAAAAAATAGGTCAAAATAAAAATTTTGAACGCTAACTGCCACCTTCAAAAAACTGATAGAAATTAATAGTTCAGTTGTCTTAGCTGCCCTGTGCATATACACCCGCGATTTTCCCCTTCCTTTCCTTTCCTTTCCTTTCCTTTCCTTTCCTTTCCTTTCCTTTCCTTTCCTTTCCTTTCCTTTCCTTTCCTTTCTCCTTTCCCTCCCAATCGCTCATGCCTTTTGAGCAGTCTCTTGGCCACGGGCGCCCTGGGTGTGGGGTGCGCTGGCACGCCTGAGTGAGGGCGTGAGGCTTGCTGGGCGCGCCTGGCCGGCGTCCGCGCCAGCGCTGCAGAGCTGAAGCCGAGGCCGTCTGTGGAGCTCTGCTCTAGCTTGCCCCCTTTCCTGTGCTTTGTTGCTTAAGGCACTTGGACGGATAATTGTATTTTATGTTTTAAGATGTGGTGATGTTGATTTTATTTTTTCAAATAAACCTGGAGATGGGACTGGGGAGATGGCTCAGTGGAATAAGCACTTTCCTGGCAAGCACAGGGGCCTGAGTTCAATCCCCAGACCCGCCAAAAAAACCCCACAACAACAACAACAACAAACAAACAAACCTGGGGAAAGGGCATCCTCGCAGCAGCCCGGCCCCCAGCCCCGGGACACGGAGGTTTTCAGTCCAGTGCCCAGACGCGCTCACCAGCGGCTCTGGCAGTGGCGGGAGGCTCCTGTGGGATTCTCCAAGCATTTGTTTTGGTGAGTTTCGAAGCTCCAGGTGCCAGGGAACACCAGGCATTTGTAGGACACTTACACATGCCAGGCTTTTTCCTTTCAGCTTCAAGCTGGGGCCGTGGCAGACTGGTTTATACTCTCGAGAAAAACTAGGATTCCTTGCTGTTGGGCAGATCGCCTGTGTGTTCTGTTGACATTTGAGGAGCAGGCTGGATGTTACTAGGAACTAGCCGGAGGTTAAAAGTGTGCATCCCATGGGGAGCACTCAGGGTGCCCTGGGGAGCACTCAGCGTGTACTGGGGAGCACTCAGGGTGCCCTGGGGAGCACTCAGGCCATACTTTTGCCTTTGGGCTCAATGATGTCTGCTCATCTCTTCCAGCTACCGCCTGTGTGACCCCTCTGTGAAGCATTTATACCAGTCGTCCCCACTCTTCGGGGTCTATTTTACGGTGGAAAGGATTGGAGTCCTGAGAGTGGGAGACCCTGTGTACCAGCTGGTGGACTGAGGGCCCGCTCGGCTGACGAGAGAGAGGTCAGTTCTGCTGTGGGAGCTCCGCATCTGGCAGCCACTGCCCAATTTTCTTGTGTGAAGACCTTTCAGAGTTACAGGGACCTTAGGCCCTGCGAAACATCCTCTTCTGGCACCCTCCCCCCAGCCACCTCAGGAGGGAGACAGGGCCGGGCTCTGAGTTGGCGGGGAGTCGACAGGGGTGCAGGTGAGAGGGAGCGTTCTCCAGAGCCTCACGCCATTTTGTGTGTCAGACAAAGTGAAGGAGATTATCTAGGTTATCCGAAGTCAGCTGGGGAAGAATTGCTAAATCACATGCTTTCGTCAAGTGTACTTAAAATGCAATTTAAATTTGAAAAAACTTGGCGTGTGAAGGTGAGGTGACCCTACCTCATGGTGTAGAAAGTGATGTTTTCTCATTGATCTCACAGAGCCAGAAAAAAAAAAACCCTGGGCCCTGGAGGCCTTCGCCCAGCCAGCAAGTGCAGCCAGGCGAGAAGGCAGTCGGGAGGGCTTGTGCTGAGGGCTCTGAGCACCTACTGTCCCGAGTCTCCGAGCAGGCCTGAAAGTCACTTGTCAGCAAAGCGCTCACACGCTTTTCCTCTCTTGCTGCCCGAGACTTGCTTAGTTATTTTTCTCATGCTGCGCAGATTACCCGACACCCAAAGCTGAAGGGGAAAGGTTTGTGGGCTTGCATGGTGTAGAGGTTTAAGTCCATAAACGGCTGGCCTGAAGGCAGGCGCACGGCAAGGGGCACCACACAGGAGGAACAGTTTATGGCGGGCAGCAGGCAGCGACCTTCCTTCTGTCCCTGAGTTCCACCCAGGCTCACACCCTTGGGCAGGAGGGCTTCTCATTGTCCACACCAGAACTATGCCAAATAAGCAGGGGACAAGTCAGTAGCCACACACCCTTGATCACAGCCCCACACCCTATCCCTAGCTCACACACCCTACACCCAGCCACCTCTGAAAAGCCCCACCTGTGACCCCATGAGGCTTGGGGGATATCTGGACAGAAGCCATGACCCTCAGGGGTCACAGCTTCCTGCCCACCTGGGCACCCGGCCTGCAAGGGTGCAGGCTCAGGATGCCATGGCCATGGCCATGAGGAGGTGCATGAAGGTCTAGATCGTGCTGTCCTCTGCTGTGGGCTTGACACCCAGCTGCATCCCTGCCAGCCTGGGCTGGGCCTGTAAAGGGTGTCCTCTAGACAGGAGGAAGGACAGCTGAAAGCAAGTGCAGGCTGTGCTGCCCAGGACCCCCGGGAGCCTTCTATATCTAGTTAGCACTTAACCTTACAGAGGTGGCTGCTGCTTGTGACAGCAGAAGTTTGTCAGGGCAAATGTAGAAGATGCCAGAGAAGTAAAAGAAAGACATTGTCTGTTGTTATTCCTTATAAATTTTATTCCAGTAGGAATTTCTGTTTTATGAAGTAGCTGTGGTGCATGCATGTACCCCATGACATGTATGTGTATGCGCAACTTTCATAGCTCTCCAGTCTGTGCAGAAGTCATTTTGATGGCTTTGTAACATTACTTGTATACAAGTATGACACTGTTTAAATGCAAGTTTTTCAGTATTTGCTACTTAGAGTAATCCAGTCTGCTGCCAGTAACCCTTTAATGGATGTCTCTCTAGACAGAGTATTTTAAAATGAAAGGATTTCTTGGCAAGTGACATTACTGAAAACCTACTTTTTCTTCTTTTGAGGTGGGATCTTGCTGTGTTGCCCAGGCTGGCCTCCAGCACCCCAAGCTCCTACCTCAGCCTCCTGGGTGACAGCAGAAGTGGTTGCCCCAGGGTGTACATCAACCATGCCTTCCACTTGCACACCCATGTACCCTGTGCGGGAGTTCACTTTCTGTGGCTGTAACAAGTGCTGATTCTTCCTAATAAGGTTTACTTAACTCTGAGCTTGGGGGCCTGAAGGTCAAAGATTGGGGGTCTCGTCTGTGCACCCATGTGGCTTCCTATGGATGCCATAGTGACAGGGGATGGAGGTTGTGTGGACAAGGCTGAGAGTGGGCTGGCCGGCTTGCCTTTGTCACAGCTTCCTCCAGGGGAGACTCGGTGGGTTCTCAAGAACAACCCTACTTCCCAGACACCTGACCACGCCCTCTAGCCCTGGCCTCTGCACAGCCTCACACTGCCACCCAGCGCCACGCTGCCAACACGTCAGCCTAGGGGCACACCAATGCTACTGCAAAGCCCAGCACCCTGTGAGGACCTTCGTGGAGTCCCAGGGGAGCTCGTACCCTGGGCAGCGCAGTTTACATTGCCTGCAGTGGAAGGGACTGTTCCGTGCAGGTTTGAATAATTGGTGGCGAGTGCACTAAATACTGAATGTCAGAGGTTCTTATCATTCCTGTGGCTTTCAGCATCCAGGAGGCCTGGACCACGATCCTGAAGCACGAAGGGGGCCTGGAGAAGCCTGTTATGCAGCCACGATATTTTTGCCCAGAAAGGAGTCGCAGTTTCTGACGCTTCCGAGTTATGCGTGCTCCAAATTAATGCGAGTAGAGTCTTTGAGGTGATTTGGAAGGTGAAGGTATACGCATTTCAATTATAAAGGCATTTTAGATCAACAAAATTATCTATAAAATTATCGCAAATGTTCTTGCAGCTATTGTTTCTGTCCCTGGCTTCAGTACTGGTGAGTGAAGAATGGTTAAAGAGTTAGCAAAGAAGATGAGATTTTTAAAAAAGTGCTCCTTATTTCCTGCTGTTGGTTGTTTTAAGTCCTTGTGGCCTGACTGCTTTTACAAGCCCACAGGCTCCCACATGCCTGCGGCCGGCCCTGGCCTGGCTGCCGAGCCCTGCTTCTGCGTTTCCGGCCTGTGGGGTAGGGCCTGAGGGTGGACTGTCCCTCAGAGCCTTGTCTGTACTTGATTTTGCCTCTGTTAACCCATAAAACTTATTTCTGTCTGTGGATGTCTGGCAGCCAAGTAAGAAAACACCACGAATGGAATCTGGGAGAGGGAAATTTGGGTGCAGGAAAGTGTATTTTAGGTGCATTTCGACAAACAAGAAACATGAGCTCTTTTCCGATGATTGAGCAAAAATTCTCACTGCACTAATAATAGGTAAAAGAATTAACCTACTTATCACTGTGTACTTTGTTTTTAATAAACATGGATCTTGACTCTACCATGTCTGGTGTGGATGTCTGGCCTCGCGTGGCCTCCTGCAGCTCCTGTCTCTCATGTGGACTGGGCCTGGAGGGATGCCCACCTTGCTAGGGTCCCCTGCTGGGGCGCAGCAGTTCCGTCCTTTCTGTCTTTCTCTGCTGGGCTCCGAGGTTCGCCTCAGCTCCCTGCAGCCTTGGAGAGTTGTTGGGCGTCCTGATGAATCTTACAGGCGATGACCAGAAAGCCCGTTTACCTTTCCAGAGTGGAGCGAGGCTGGGGCCTGACGGCAGCATAACTCCTGAAGCCCTGGGCTGTGGGAACGTAGCCCTCAAGGCCAGTGGCCCTGAGTGGGTGACACCTCCTTGGTCCGGACATCACCTTCAACCTGGGCTTCCAACGAGGCTAGCTTCCCCCAGCAGCTGGAGGACAGGGCATGGGCAGGCAGCAGGGAGCTAGGCAAGTGGAGTCTCACTTGCTCACCTTTGCTGGGAAGAACGCTTAGAAAGAAGGCTTCACTGGTGCTGGCGGGTGTGAGCCGGCAGCCTGGGAAAGAGGCTCCCCTATGGGTTGAGCGTCCTGTGGCCTCTGAGCCAGGGTGCTCCTTCTGCGGGGGTGGGTGGGGGTTCTGCCCAGCGACCAGCAGGGATGCTCCTTGGTTCCATCCTCTGCAGCAACTCTACGAGGCTCTCAGCCACGTGGTGCTGGAAGGACCCCGCCTTCCATAGCTGGTCACCCCACCAGCATCCCAGGTGGACTTGGTGAGCCGTGGCCCCTGGTCAGCCAGCATGGAGCCTGGCCTCCGTGCACGGTTATTGTCTTCCTTCTGTGGGCTGGATTTAGCCGCGGGCCTGGCACGGGTTGTGCAGCTGCCCTCACTGCAGTGGGGTGTAAAAGTCTCCTGGAGCCGCTTGCACAACAAGAACAGGAGGCCGAGGCCCCACGCCAGTGTGAGGGTGTGGGGTGTGTGTGGGGGGGGTGCGCGTGCCCGTGCGGCACAGTGCTGGGGTGGAACCCGGGGTCTTCACACACAGCTGCAACTCCTTTTTTACTCTGGACTTTGAGTCGGATTGAAAGTTGCCGGGGCCAGGCTCCAAATCACAGTCCTCCCTCCTCGACCTTCCGAATGCTGGGGTCACAGCCATGCGATACCACAGCCAGCCAACGTGACCACCTCTTTCGGAAGTGAGAAGGGACCCGGAAGCCGGGGCCGCGCCCAAGGCTGTCTGTCCTATCCTGGGCGACCTCTCTGCCCAGGCGCAGGACCGAGCTCGCTCCCACCAGGCTGTGTGCCCCATATCCCTACCCCAGACCCTGGACAATGACCACTCCTCCCTCGGCCACACCACATGCCGGCCTGGGTTCTGTTGCACAATTTTCCTCCTCCTCAGGCCACATGGACCTGCCCTGCAGCTGTCCTGCGAGGGCGGATGGGGCGGGGCGGAGAGTGCGGCTTTGATTGGCCCAGGGACCACACCCCCTTGGTCGGATCAGTACCACTTCCCCGAGCCTGGGGCGCAGTGTCCTCTGCCATGGGCACCGCTGGCTCCCGCGCGCTCTCCAGCCTCGGCCTCCCTGCGCCCGCGCGGCCCGCATGGCTGGGTGTTGCCGTGCTGGCGGCCGTGGCCCTGGGGGCGGTGGCCTGGCGCCTGTGCCCCAGGCGACGCCGGCGGTGGCGGCAGGTGGGCACGGTGGCGCAGCTCTGGATCTACCCAATCAAGTCCTGCAAAGGGGTGCCGGTGCCCGAGGCCGAGGTTACAGCACTGGGGCTGCGCGTGGGTCACCTGCGCGACAGGTAGGCGGGAGGGCAGGACAGGGGTCCTGTAGACACCCAGAGCGACTCAGAGCTGCTGCTTTCGTGAGGTCTGCCCCCTCCAGATGGGCCCTGGGAACTGCGGGGACACAGGTCATCTCTGTTTTCACCCCTCCCTCCCTCGCCCTTTCCCACCTTCCTCCCTCTTGCTTCCCTTTGTACTGAGGTTGAACCCAAGGCCTCCTAGGAGCGCTATCCTCAGTCCTTGTTCATGTTGAGAGAGGGACTCGCTGCATCACTAAGCTGCCCTCACTGAACTGAGGCCTTGACCCTCCCACCTCAGCCTCCCAAGTGCCTGATCACAGGGGTGTCACCATGCCCAGCTCTGAAAGCAAACTTCTTAATCTCTGTGTAGGATGAGGTGGCCTTCAAGACATCGACCCCATTGCTTTGTTTTATCGACTTATGTTGGGATCTTGGGAGGCTTAGACAGGAAATCCTGCTCTCTGTGAGTGCCCCACGGCCGGGCACAGGGAGCAGACAGCCGTCAGGTGGCTGCCCGTTGCTGGGTGCAGGCTGATGCACTGGGCAGAGCTCCCTCCAGTACACCCACAGTGACGGAGCCGAGGTCCAGAGCCCACGGCTGTGCGCCAGGCCCCATCCTTCTCTGGAGTCAGGGCTGTGGAGTCCCAGAGACTGAGGAAGGCTGAGGTTCTGCTTAGACCCCCAAAAGGCTTTGTGTCAGCGTCCCCAACTGGGGGCCAGTGAGATGAGAAACCAGCTGAGAGTGGGAGGGAGACCTCAGAGTGGTTTGAGAAGGAAGGAGCCCCTAGGGGTGACTTACTGGTGGCTGGGGTCTCACCACAGATCTGCCCTCTGAGCCGAGTGAGTGCCGCAGGGAATCAGAGATCTGGGGGTGAAGACCACTGTCTGGCTGTGCTTGTCTGTGGGCAGGCCCCTGATGCAGCCACTCTGTGATGAGGGACGCAGGGAATCCCCATGGCAGGTGGTGATAGGCTGCAGGCCTGAGCCGGGAATCCTAGTGACTCTGTGGTCCCCATAGTGCTTTGATTTTTTTTTTTTTTTTTTTTTTTTTTTGTACCAGGGATCCAACTCAAGACCTTGTGCTTGCCAGGCAGGCACTTATGCTGCTGAGCTATCTCCCCAGCCCTAACGGTGCTTTGCACAATGGGAAGATTTGTCAAACTTCTTTCATGGCAGGGGCATTTGGTTCAGCAGGCCCTTAAGCTCTTTCCCCACAGGGGACAGTAGGTGGCGTTGGTCCCAGGCATAGCGTTAAGTCCTTATTTCTCAGCACTTCGGGAAAGCGCAGGCTGGCTGAGGCTGGAGCTGGGGAGGACACAGGAGACGAGTGAGGGAAACACAGAGGAGGAGGCTGGGAGCTGTCCTGGCTCAGAGGGCCTAAGCGGGAGGTCTCTAGAAGCCTCAGCTTCAGCTGCGAGTTGGGAGGTGAGTAGGAGTTTTGCAGGAAGGAAGCTGGGCATGGTCAGGAGGGAAGGCAGACGCTGGGCTGAGACGGGGCTGGGGGACAGTCACTGCTGTGGCCCTCAGAGTACCTGAGCAGGATAAACAGTGCTCTGTGGTGGGCACTGCTGGGGGCAGCGGTTCCTGTGAAAAGCGGGGAGAAGCCATTGACCCATTGCGATCCAGGAGCCTGCAAAGTTTCTTTCTTTCTTTCTTTCTTTCTTTCTTTCTTTCTTTCTTTCTTTCTTTCTTTCTTTCTTTCTTTCTTTCTTTCTTTCTTTCTTCCTTCCTTCCTTCCTTTCTTCCTTCCTTCCTTCCTTCCTCCCTCCCTGCCTCCCTCCCTCCCTCCCTTCCTTCCTTTCTTTCTGGCAGAACCGGAGGTTGAACTCAGACCCTTGCGCTTGCCAGGCAAGTGCTTATTCCACTGAGCTATCTCCCTGGCCCCCTGCAAAGTTTCTGCACCACTGGATCATGGTTGAGGGGGAGAGGGACTGGGGAGGGGGCAGGGGTGGGGGGGTGCAGGGGAAGGGAAGAGGAGAGGGGCAGTGCTTCATAGACCCAGGGAGGAAGCTGACACCAGGACCCAAGGAGTGAGTAACACGGGCCCAGTGGTACGTGGGCAGCTTCTGTCCTCCTGGAGACAGCAGCGGGCTCCAGGTGACTTGAGGGAGGGCCAAGGTCGCTTAGTAGGACCGAGTCTCTGCAGGGGGTACAGGCGTTTAGAAGTAGGTAGTGGTCATGGCCGCCCAGCACTGTGCAGACCTCAAGCCCCCAGTCGTGTGCCTGGGCACTGACACCGTAGTGAGCGCCATTGAAGAGCCAGTGTCCCTGTGAGTCGGGGTGTCCAGTTCTTCGATGTTTACACCTAGGGACAGGCCAGGTATTTTATGTTTATGCATGTTTTACTGGAGTTAGAGTAGATGTGAAAACATACTGGGGACAGGACTGCAGACCCATGGGCCTGGCTTGGGTGAGCGTTGGGTCCAGAATCAGCAGCCGCGGAGGGGCTCCGAAGGAGGGACGCTGAAGTCACACTGGCTGCCCAGGAAGAGCAGGCAGCTGTTGTTGCTGGGAAACATTAGAGGACACATAGCTGCCGACTGTGGCACATACCACCGAGTGAGGTCAGGCAGGGCCATAGTGCGGGTGAGGGGTAGGTCAGGAAGGTGGGTGCCAACCCTGGCAGCCCGCTGGAGGCCCGGCGGGCAGATCTTGAGTGACCTGGAGTCTGTGCTCTTTCCTCTCCTGGCTGGAGCTCCCCAAACGCAGGCTCAATTCTGTAAGGGCTCCCCTGCCAGTGGACTCAATGCCCTGGTGTGTTCCACTTCCTGGGGAGCCTGAGAGGTCACCTGATCCATGTGTTCTTTTTTTTTTTCTGGAAACACTTCTTTCTGCTCCTCTTATTTCACTGTTTTTTTCCTAGGAAATTCCTCTAAGGCTGGGGGAACCAGGTGGGAAAAAATATTGATTAGATTGACAGTAGAACATTTAGCACGCTGCAGAATCCACAGCACTGACTATAGAAACGTTGTAACTGCACGAAGCATACAGTGCTTTTAAAAGGTGACAGTGGCCAGGTGTGACGAGCAGCCCTTCTCACCTGCACCCGTGCTCTGGGGACAGGCCTGGGGAGGGTGCTGCTCCTGCCGTCCCCGGAGCCCGTGCCCCACCTGGGCATGGACTCCTGCCGACCCTCACCTCCTCAAGCCTCTCTGTGACCTAGATTCTTCTCGTGGTCCATGAAAGTGATTGGGATTCCTGGCAACAGAGAGTATAATTTTTTTTGTCTGTTTTAAATTTTGTAATTTTTTTTTTTTTTTTTTTTTTGGTGTGTGTGTGTGGTTAGCTTGCTGGTGAGGCACGTGGTGCTGGGGATTGAACTGCAGTACCTGCGCTTTGCTTAAGCTTGCCTAAGCAGGTGCTGTAGACTGCTGAGCTATCTTGCCGGCCCCTGTAAGGATTATTTTAGTTTTTTTTTTTTTTTTTTCAGAACCAGGGATTGAACTCAGACCCTTGCGCTTGCCAGGGAAGCGCTTATCCCACTGAGCCATCTCCCCGGCCCCTGTAAGGATTATTTTAATTGCACAACGTTATGGGGCACCAGGGCAGGGCTCCACCCCTGCATGCAGGCGTGCAAAGCCCAGGGCAGAGGAGTTGACATTGCCATCTCCTTATGCAGTCTGAAAACATTTTATGGGCATTAATAATTGTACATGTTTAGCCAGTTCATTCGGATATTTCAACACGCACATGTGACCCGCACCGAGGAAGCTGGGGTCGTTAACTGAGCATTAGTTTGCATTTAGAACCTTCAATTGTTTTCTTCTAGATTGTCATAAAATATGTATGAGGTTGTTGTGGGCGGCGGTCCCACGCCGTGTGGCGGAGCTGTAGAGCTTACCCCTGCAGCCCCGCTGTGGCTTGGTGCCTGCCATCCAATTTAAAAAATGTCATATCAGTACGTGCTTGTGGCACGCGACAAAGGCGCTCGCTGTGGAGTGTCGGTGCTGTGAACACCCCTCTTAATCCTTTCGCTTCCATCCCCAGGCTCCGTTCCTGTCTGCCAAAGTGCTCCTTTCTTGCTCCTTATCATCCACTAACGTCTTCTTGCATGTTGTGCGCAGCCTCCATAGGACTCGTTCCTTTGAAATGTACACACACACACACACACACACACACACACACACACAGTCTCAGTGGCTTCCAGAGAGGACACTGGAGGTGCCTGTGTATGACTATAGCTCTGGCAGAGGCAGGCTGTTGTCGTCAGGGTGGCCAACTCATCTGTGTTTTGAACTTATCAGGTTTTGGCTCGTGGTCAACGAGGAGGAGAACATGGTGACCGCCCGGCAGGAGCCTCGCATGGTGCTGATTTCTCTGACCTGTGATGGTGACACCCTGACTCTCAGCGCAGCCTACACCAAGGACCTGCTGCTGCCCGTCAAGACGCTGGCCACCAACCCAGTGCGCACGTGCAGGTGAGGGCGGGCTGGTGGTACAGGCGTTTGTGCAGGTGTGAGGGCTGTGGACACTGGGGAAGCCTGCTGGAACGTCTCCGACCCTTAGCCGTGGACCTGGACGTACCTTGGGCAGGGCGCATCACCTGTGCTCAGCATCATGTGGATCTGGCAGGAGGAACTGGGAAGTAGCTACTGAGCATGTGTTGGGGCAAAAAAAATGTGCAAGTGCCTGGTAGAAGCCAAGGTAGTGGCACACACCTGAAGTGCCAGCACTCAGAGTTTAAGTTGGCGGCATGGTAGTGAGTTCGAGGCCAGCCTGGGCTATGTAGTGAGTTCAAGGCCAGCTTGCGCTATACAGTGAGACTGCCTCAAAAATCCACCCCTGCACAGACAGGTCACCAAGAGAAACCACCACCCAGGACCGGGGACTGGAAGTGTGGGGCGGCAGGTCAGTGTTTTGCAATGATCTCCGCACTGTCAAAGGACTTTTCCTGCTTTCCTGGGAAAACTGAATACCTGAATCTGAGTTCAGAAGGGGCTGTGAGTGATAGGCCACGGCATGGCGCACATTAGAGTGGGGATGTTTAATCCTAATGAGAAGTCCTGTGATGGGCACACACCCCAGCTCCAGGGGACCGACCCAAACTGGATAGTTGAGCAAGAGCGGGCGCTCAGCCCGGCGCTGCGCTGGCACGGAAGTGCTGTCCTCAGCCCCAGAGGGCTGCGAGGGAGCCTGTGCGTCTGCCTCTGAGAGCCCGCAGGCCGCGCCGTGAGCTCTCACGCCCCTAGTGGTGTGGCACTCTTTAAACTGACTCCGCTTTAGCCACATCTCGGATAGACTCATTTTCCAAAGGAAACTTTCGTGGCTGCTGCTGTGCTTTGCCCAACATAGCCTGTAACTGAGACAAGTACGGACCACGTGAAATGTCTCTGAATTCTAGCTCGAAACTGTGGCCTGTGGAAGTCGTGGACCTAAGGTCTGTTCTGTCCTTGTTACAGGAGGTGGTTATTGAATGTGGCTGAGTGTAGGAGTCCCCTCTAGTTTCTCCTCTCGGTCCAAGAAGTTTATATCTTCTTGTAATCACAAAGATACGTTATTGGAATCCCAAGTTAATTCCAATCTACCACTCCCAGTGCAACCCATGGCGAAAATAAGGACACTAAAGCATATTTATAATTATGGGGAGCCAAGCGGTCATGAGTCCAGCCATGGTGCTAGCTATCCAGGACAAAGGCTTTGATCCAGGGCCGAACCTGGGTTTTATTCAGTCCTGAATGAGGAGTGGCTTGAGGATGAATGACTGAGAATTGCAGGAAGTAGGTGAGCACTGTGAGCTTGGCCTGTAAATGCAGGTAGGAGGCCAGCAGTTACCTCCGTGATATGCAGAGAAGGATATGCAGAAAAGTGATTTGCATTATACTATTGAGATAGTATCTAATGTTTTGGGGTCTGGTGCTTCAGCCCTGATGTGTAATCTATCAAGCCCCAGGAAGTCATAGCCTCTATCTCAAGGCTCCGTCCCAGCCTGCAGCTTGGAGCACTGGCTCTTTGTCCTGTCTCAACTCGGCTCACATTAAAGAGCAGCAGGTGTGGGTTATCAGGGAAACACACACGCCACCTTCAAAGACTACCACCAGCACCACGGCTAGACCAATGTAAATGGCTTAAGGCCAATTAAAAGGATAAAGAGAAGTCTTAGCCAGCTCTGTACATAGAATTCGAGGAAATAGGCTCAGGCCCAGCCAAATGAAGACAATCGCTCTTCTTTCAAGAAGAGCTGCTCAGGTGGCCCTCCACAGCTGAGTTAAAGCTCTGTCAGGTGCAAGGCATGCTTCTGCAATCCAGCACTCGGGAGACTGAGGCAAGGGGCTTGTGAGATCAAGGTTGGCTTAGGTGACATGGTAAGAGACACATGAAAAGAAAAGACAAGAGAAGAATCACTTTGTCCCTGTGCAGTGACTGCTATTAATGATATCCCCAGAGGCCACACGCAGTTGTCTCACCTCCCACATGGGAATCTGGCAGGTACCCTTGCTTTCACTTCCTCTCTATAGCTGTGTAGCTCGCTGATCCCCAAACAGTGCCGGCCACAGGTGTATGGGGGTGGGGCGCTTTAGACTCTGTGGATGTATGAATAGCTATCAAAGCCAAGTGGATTCCTTCTGTCACTTTACAACACTTTCTCATAGGTCCCTGCTGCAGCCCCATTATACTGAGTGCATTCTGGCAGGTGTGTGGAGAAGGATGGCCTGTGACCGGGCTGGTCCTTGGAGGGAGGACACTGTGGGCCTCTTCGTGCCGGTAGGGTCAGAAGCCCCATCTACAGCTTTTACCTTTAAAAAAAAATCATGGTCCAGCCACGTGAGATGGCGCACATCCATCATCCCAGCATCCTGGGAGAGCTGTGCTGCTGGCAGAACTTTCTGGTCAGTCTCTGTCTCGGCTACTCTTCTTGTCCCCGAGGCAAAATCCCCAACACTCACAGTTACAGAAGAAAGGTTTATTTAGCTCACAGCCAGTTTCAGTCTGTGATCAGCTGGCTCCAAGGCAGAGGTCATCGCGGAGGAGCAGCAGTCCGTGGCAGGGCAGGCAGGAGGCAGCAAGCGGGTGAAGAGCAGCCGCAGCAATGGTGGCGGTGGCGGCGGTGGCAGCAGCAGCATCTGTCACCGCTGCTGCCACAGCTGCCTTCTCTCTGTCCCGTTAGGTCCACTCACACCCAGCTCGGGCACCCTTAATCCCAGCATCGCACACCCTGGAACCACATCCTCTGAAAAGCCCCATCTGTGCCTGTGACCACATGAGGCTCTGGGGAGACAACTAGACACACAGGAACCAGTTTTTAAACCAGTAAAGTCCAGGCTTACAAAGCACATCTGTCCATTTGGGTGCACTGTGGCTTGGAGCAGAGTGGCGCCCTCTGCAGACAAGGGGCAGCAACAGCATCTCTGCTCGCGTGGGCGCAGGACATGGTACAGGGTGCCCAGGGCCTCAGCCGTGCTGTCCTGTGCCTGTCCCTCGCAGGGTGCATGGCCTGGAGGTGCAGGGCCGGGACTGTGGCGAGGCGGCTGCGCAGTGGATAACCAGCTTCCTGCAGTCACAGCCCTGCCGCTTGGTGCACTTCGAGCCGGACATGCGGCCCCGGAACTCTCGGCAAATCAGGGCAGCATTCGCGCCTTCGGACCAGGTGAGCCTCCGTCATCGGTGGGCAGGTGGGGGCGCAGTCACCTCAGCGCTGCAGACTCATGGCGCCCCTGAGGAACCTGGGGCTGTGGTTCTCCAGGCAGGGGACACAAAGGAAGTCTTCCCAGGGGAGCAGCACGCTGCTTCTCCCTTTGGGGGAGCCTGGTGCAGTCTGGTGCCAAGAGCAGCTCAGAGCTGTTCTCTCCTCTTCACTGCCCCGTAACTGTGTGCGGAGCCCTTGGTCTCCACAGCCTCCTTGCGCACCTCGCGGCACAGGGTGCTGCGGAGAGATGGACTACCTGCGGCTGGCTGGGCCGTGGGGCTTCCCCTTGCCGGCAGGGCCGGAAGCCCCACTCACTGCTTTTGCATTAAGCATCCCAGCACCCTGGGAGGCCGAGGGCAGGAGCCCACAAGGCTGAGCCCAGTCAGGGCAACTCAGTGTCAAAATAGACGATGATGATGATTGATGATACTACTGACAAAAACGTGGATGTTCCCAGTCGAAGGCTCTGGGTTCAACCCTAGCACCATAAAAGTAAACGGCAACGTAAGTACTCAAGGTTAGGGTTGCACAAAGAATAGCACCTCTGGAGTATGGGCAGAATTAGTGGATGTTTTACTCCACCGTAACAAGCCTTCCAAGCCCAACCGGCTATTACACGTGGGAGCCGCTGGGGGCGTGGCCAGGGACTCGTCCCCAGGGCACGCGCCAGGGCAGCTCCCGGGCCATGGCTGGGCTCCCCTCGCCCTGCCGGAGTCTGAAGACCGCTTAGGGATTCCAATCTCTATGACTTTGCTACGAAATGACCTAGAGAAATACTTAAAAGACTGTGATTGTGGAGCGGACATGCTCGGGACCTAGAGGCAGGAGCCCGAAGACGTTGTCCGCTGCGCCCCGTGACGGTGCCCGTCCCCTGCCAGGTTGCCTACTCGGATGCCAGCCCGTTCCTGGTTCTCTCTGAGGCCTCCCTGGCCGATCTGAACTCCAGACTGGAGAAGAAAGTGAAAGCGTCTCACTTCCGGCCCAATCTCGTCATTGCGGGATGTGGCGCCTACGCAGAGGTAGGCGCCTCCTCGCTTCTTTCCTTAGATTTGATTTCTTCCTTAAAGGGCAGAGACCTCTGGTGCTGGATTAGGTCATTCCGAAGGGCGGGAAAGTGCGCGTGGCTCTGCGCTGCGCCCTGAGCGTGGGCTCGGGCGGGGCGGGCCCGGAGGAGGGTCCCAGGCTGCCCCAGCGCTCGCCTCTTCTAGGACTCCTGGGACGAGCTCCTCATTGGGGACGCGCGGCTGCGAAGGGTGATGCCCTGCACCAGGTAGGGCGCCTGCCTGTCCCCCGGGCGGCGGGCGGGGCCTCGCTGCCGCCCCGGCTGACGCGCTGTGTGCGGCCAGGTGCATCCTCACTACGGTGGACCCGGACACCGGCGTCATGAGCAGGAAGGAGCCGCTGCAGACCCTGCGGAGGTAGGACGGGCGGATGGGCACCCTGGAGGCTACGCCCGCTGCGAGGGTGCACTTTTTCGACCAATTTTGCATGCTTAGATCTAGTAATCTGAGCAAATAATTTGAAGACTACCATATGCAATACAACAGCCATTGTTGAATTCCTAACACTTTGTTTAGTGAAATTCTGTATCCTTTCTAATTTTTTTTAAAAAAGGCCACAAAAAGCCAGGTGTGAGACAACGCTGCTTCCTGTGCCCTGAACTGAGATCAGCAGGCTACTTGCAGTACCTCTTTTTCTGCACAAGGGGGCGCCAATGGCCTTGCCTGGTCTTCGCTTGCTCCTAAGCAGTGATTGCAGCGCTGCACGCAGCGAGGAACGGTGGGGGGCTGGGAGACCCCGCAGCCACACAAGGGACAGTAGGATGGCAGCCTGCGGCCAGCGGGGGCCAGTTCTGTACTCCGGGCTCTTGTACAACTGTCCCCAGACACCAGTGCGGGCCGCACCTGCAGCCCAGGTGACACAGCTGTGGATCTGCCGGCCTCCTCGCCTCTCCTCGCTGACCTGGGGGCCCGTGTGTCCACTGGGAGGGGCGGATGCGACTTGAGTGTTCCCCTTGCTCCCCGGGGGCCTGTGGGACGGGGACAGAATGCGGGTGACCAGCAGACCTGGTGCAGGCTCAACCTGGCACTTAGATCCGGGGTCTCGGGCAGTGGAGCAGCACCATGAAGGCCAACAGGAGCCCCCAGGCGCGGCGGGGTGGGCCCCTGCCCCCCAAGCGGGGGGTTCCTGCCTGAGGCACGGAGCCCAGGACCCAGGGCTGCGGGAACAGCCAGGTCCGAGCCTCCCTGGCCTGGCTGGAGGAGCCCCATCTCCGCGTCTGTGCTGTCAGCTGCTCTGAGCTGCGCCTGGGCCCCACCTGGGTTCCCCGGGTCCATGCCCTGCAGTCCCAGCGCAGAAGGAGCAGCCCCAGTGTTCATTTGTCTTTTATTCATTCATTAGTCCACCAGCGCTTCTCTGAGGGCAGTACGCATGGGCATGAGTGGGATGCAACCACTGTGCCCTAGGGTGCTCTCAGTCGGGGGTCTGAGGGGCTCTGGAGGAGCTTCCCAACCGACCGACCCCAGCTTTCCAGCCTCTTGCCATTTGGAGAGCATCACCCGGCCTGAGTGTTGCAATAGTTTTATTTTCTTATTTTTGAAAAGCTTCTCTTTTAAATGCAAGACAGAATGAAATTAGCACTTCCAGCTGTGGTCCTTTAAGTATGTGCACATAAGGCTAGGGGCGGGCTGGCCGCCCCTGGGCCTTCTTCCTGCTCTCCTTGATTTTTTACCTGGAAAAGATCCTCCCACACAGGGTGACTCTCGACATGTCCAGTCACCAAGGAGCTGTGGGCTGCAAGTGGCCTCCCTGGCCAGCACTGGCTTGAGCAGGATGGGGGGTGGGATGTGGATCTGTCCCCAGGGCTCCCTGTCCTGCAGGACAGAGGCTTGTCCTGCAGCACCCCAGGTCAGGAGGAGGACGCTGAGGGCAGGCGGTCAGGCCTGTCCAGCCAAACCACCTTCCCTCCCAGTGCTGACAAGGATCATTCCTGTAGAGACGCGGGGACACAGCCTGGGCTGCGCTCCTGTCTTTGTACCCCGGCTGACAGTCGGCTGGCCAGCTTCAGAGGCACGGTCCCATGACCAGGCTGGCGCGTGGGGCCAGGGCTGTGGACCCGACCTCAGCCCATGGGTGGCGCCAACTTCTGGGCTTGTGCCTCTGTTTGCCTGGACTCACAGTGCTCTTTCTCCTGTTGCAGTTATCGCCAGTGTGACCCTTCAAAACAGAAGATATATGGACAGTCACCGCTCTTTGGACAGTACTTCGCTCTGCAAAGCCCAGGGACAGTCAGGGTGGGAGATGCTGTGTACTTGCTGGGCGAGTAGTGGGAATCCGTGTCCTGGATGTTGGACGCCTCCCTAAAGTCCTCCAAGATGACTGCATGTGGCACAGTGCCTGAGATCCACGACTTAAGTACAAGGTTTAATTTGGTTCACGGTTTCAAGAGAACGGTCCCTGGTTATCAAGCCTTTGTCTTCTTTGCAGCTCCAGATCTGTAATTTCTGCATGTTTTTCTAAGGACGATTAAATTAGAGCTAGATGGAGATGGATGAGACTTCCTGGGTGTTGCGATTTAGACCTGAAATGTCGTCAGAAGTCTCCAGTGTGTGGCGGAAGGTGGTGGGATCATGGGGCGTGGTGCTCCTGGGCATTCCTTCGCCCAGCCGGGTTGACACATTGGGGCAACAGTCACAGCTTGACAGCGGGACATCTTCTTCAACCACGCTTCACCTCTAAGTAAAGATGGTGGCAAGTTTGTGGTTGTGCCTAACGTGGTGCAGCCTTCCTGCACACAACCCAGAATGCACCAGTCCCCTCCCCGAAGACTTAACAAGTCCAACATTTTTCAGAAGTCCAAGTCTTTTCTGAGACTCGAGGCAAATTCTTAGCTGGAACCTTTGTAATAAATAAATAAACAAATAAATAAATGTTGGATAAAGCTAAAGTACTGAGACTGTTAGTCCTGATCTGTCAACTTGGTTCAATTAAGCCACGCCTAGCCTAGCAGATTAGTAATGCGGGCTCCTGGGTGTCAGTCTGGGTTATGGAGTTGTGACCTCAGCCTCTCTCTGAGGGTCCTAAGCCTTTTCTCCCTGACACCGTTGCCTACTCTGACTGCTGATCACCCGTCAGGTGAGCAGCCCCCCTCACCATTCCCTCCCAACCTGGAGGTTTTGGCCTGGAACCCTGATGGGCATGACTGGAATCTCTTGAAGTTGAGCCAGATTAAATTTTGCTTTAAGTTGTGGATATCAGGCATTGTGCCTCGAGGGCAGCAAAGCTGACTGGTACAGAAAAT